AACTTATTCTCCAAACTAAATAATAATAATAATAATAATAATAATAATAATAATAATAATAATAATAATAATAATAATAATAATAATAATAATAATAATGTCACTAATTATTCTGCATCAAAAACCCAACCCATAACAATGTTAGGAATGATTAATAAAATTATATTATTAATATTTTTTCATTTATTACACATTTTTTTTTCATTTATTACAAAAAGAAAACTGGATGAGACATCAGATTATCACATATTTAATTTAAAATTTGCACAACTTCTATATACTTTACGATGAAAACAAAATGAAATTGATTTTTTTTTTTTTGGAAAAGAAAATCAATTAACTTTGCTAGAGATCAATTAGTGATTACTTTTATTAAAATATAAGAAATCAAAAAGATTATAAGAAAAAGGAACACTTTTTTAAATTTCGACAAAATTTATACAATAATATAATACTAGTACAACACCCGTGTATAACACGGGTGCTTGTTAAAAAATAAATAATTATTCTTAAATTTTAAAATTAATAAGACAACTATAAATTAATTTTTGACAAAAAAATATATTACTATATATTTTAGAATGATATGTGTTACTCATGACTTACATGCGTTATATTATATTAGTTTTTATAACTTATATCATATACTACTTGAAATATAAATATATTAGTTGATAAATAATTTTATTTTTCTATTTAATATTAAAAATAATTTTATTAGTGTTATAAAGAAAAATATAGATTATTTTTTTTATACATACAATATGGATATTAAATCGAAGTTCATCAACAGAAGATGAATTTGATAAATTACATATGTAAAACTGATAAAAAATACAAAAGTTATTAACTTTTAAAATATATATACAATTCAATAGTTATAATAAGGAATGATATTAAAATGAAATTAATACATGTAACATTACCATAAATAATCAACATATTTATGGTATTCCGAACCTAATTATTTTTTATTTGAAATTAAAATAAAATTTACCCAAGCCTAATAACGAAACATGTAATTTTGCCACATAGGATTCTGAAGCACCAGAAGCAGCCACTTAGGCTCAGCGCGTTCTGAATTAATATATAGGGGGGATTATATTGTTACAAAACATTCCCCACAAAATCAAAGTAAACTAGTACAATACCCGTGTACTACACGAGTGTTGAGTTAAAAAGTATATGATAATGTTATTGCTAAAATAAAAATTTTATTTAATTTTTTCTTATGGACGAATGATGAAGAAAAAAGATGAATAGACATTGCAGAAAGTGATTTATAAATCATACTTTAAAAGAAAAATATAAGAGAAAATTATAAGATGATATTGCTACTAGCCCAAATTAAGAAGGAAATGTGCACTAAGAGAAAAAAATAACAAAATTAAATATACTTTACCTAGCTTAAAAAAGTTATTTATGTCTGATACCAAGTTTATTTCATAACAAAAATGAATATACAAGTAAGCTTATTAAGCATATTTTCACAATATCAGAATCTGAAGCGTGCGAGTCTGTCACTTACGTTTTATAATTTAATATACAAAGAGAGATAAGATTTTATTTGATATATCATGCTATAACCTTAAATTTTTGTCCTTTTTGGCAAAGCTATTTGCCTAGTTTTATAGATTGTCAACCCAATTACCCTATTTATCTAAATCACAAAGTCCCTTAAAAAAAAAAAAAAAAAAAA